CGGGCACATGTGCGTGCCCAAGATCCCAAGAGGAGAATGGAGAAGAGATTGCGGCATGGCCATCCCCCCTGGGGGGGTGATTTCTCACTTTCTGTCTCTCTGTCTCTGTCTGTCTGGCGAGTGCATGCACCCTATGGCAAAAACCTCTCACTGCTCCCCCCCCCAAAAAAAGATTGTGACGCTGGGAGGCCTAAAGTGACCCCTTCCACTTCCCACTTTCCAGTCCAGGGAGCTGTGCCCTAGCTTGGCAGGCAGCCCTCAGATGCTTGCTGTAGAGGTTCCACCACAGTGGAGGCTGCTCACCCCCCTTTGCTGCCAGCTCCCATTGCTGAGGCCCAGGCAGCAAGAGCAGCTGGCTGGGACACTGGGCACTTCATACCCTGCCCCCTTTGCAGCCGGCATCACTAAGCTGGGTCTTAGAACTCAAGTATGGATGTGAGGCCCTTGAGCTGAACCAGGGACTGGCGGAGGACCCAGAGCCGAGAGGACCCTACGTGGGTGGAGCTGGTGGTCACCTCTGGGAGAATGAGAGGGAAGGACTCTGTGGGCAGGCCTGGCACTCTGTCAGGAAAGGGAGGCCGAATGAAAGCGGGTGAAAAGACCTCCCTGGAGGTGCTGGGAGGGAAAGCTGGCTTTGATAAGCATGTCCAGGCTGTCTTTTCTTGCACCTCTGGGTTTGGGTGGCGAACGGCCTTCGATTATGCTGCCTGGAAGCCCTGCTCCACCCTGCTCTTCCTGGGCTGAAGAGATCTGCAGCAGGGGATGACAAGGGACAACAGGGGATGACAGGATGACAAGGCCCAATCGGAATGGTGGCTTCCTCTGGGCCTTGTAATCAGGGGACTGGGCGGGCCTTGGGGGCAGTTTGTGCCAGCGCATCCAGCCTGCTCTCCCAGGACCAGTGATTCGGAGACCTGAGTGCCCGAATCAAGCCCTCTCAATATGCCCTTCAAGGGAATCCCTCCTCAGCTCACACGAAAGCTGGAGCTGGTAGTGGTAGAGAGGGTGTGAGTGGTGACCCATGGGGACATTTAGATTTCTGAAGCCCCAGCCAGTAAATGTTCCACCCAGGCAAATCGCCCCTGTGGGGAGGAGGGGACAGGCTGCCCTGGAGCCTCAGAACAGGAACTGGGACTCTCTCTGTGGGCTCCCTTCCTGTCCTGGACTGCAGCTATCTCCAGGGTCATGGCCTGAGAGAAGGGACGGGGAGCCTTCTAGTGCCTTCCTCTTGAACATCCACTGTCATCCTCCATGGTTCTTGAGGGCCCTCCAGCACCAGGCACCACACAGACACCAGAAACAGAGAATAACAAAGCAGAAAGGGTCTCGCCTCTCAGGGCCAGAGAAGGGGTGCAATGACAGCATGTACCCCAGTTTGTCACTGTGCTCTCATGTGCTTATCAGGCTCAGTTCCAGTCTTCCTAGCTGCGAACCTCCAAGGACAAAGCTGTGTCCGTTTACTGATCACTGTATTCTCAGCCCTGGGCTGGTGCCTGGCACATGGCAAACAGACACTCTGTAAATTCTAGTTGGGTGACTGAGCCTTTGTGGGTACAGGGCAACAGGTGCCGGGACAGAGAAGGGCGGGTGTCATAAGAGCACAGAGTAGGGGATCAGAGGCGGCTTCCTGGGAAGTGGTGCCCAAGTGCAACCTGAAACATGGGTGCTAGTGGCCGCGGCCAAGGTGGGGATGGGAGGGGGCGTATATTCTAGATGGGGAATCTGTCCACCTAGCATGTAGCAGGAGGCTCAGCCTGGCTGGAGGACGGGGGAGGGAGTGGGGAACAGGATGTGGGTGTGCCAGTTCTCCTCTGCCCCACAGACGAGGTGGCGTCAGTAGGGTTGGGTCTCCTGGGCAGACTCCAAAGCCTATAGCCCTCATGACAGCCCTATCAGTGAGCTGGGACATGGGGTAAGCAGCTTCGTGGGAACTGGGAGGCTGCAGGAGTGACTGCCATGCCAGTGGCAGGAACTGGGGGGACTAAAAAGGCTCCGATGGCCTCACCCGTGTCCCCTCCCGAGGCCTCGGCTCCTCTCTGACAGCCCAGAATCACTGAAGTGCTGATGAGGTTGGTGTTAGTACTTTCCCAGAGGGAGCTGCAGAGGCCAGGCCCCCATGGGTGGAGGATGAATAGAGTCTGGATTCCTTGTTTCCCAGTTTTCAATGGAGTGTTTTCCCGACCCTAGTGTTTGCCAAACTGTGTCTCTTGGCACGCTCATTCCACAAGAAGTTACCAGCTGTGGAAGGCAGGGAGGACTCGGTGGAGTCAGACATAGCCAAACCTGTTCCTTCCTGCAGAGAGCCAGAACCCTGTCCTAAGCTGGTGCACATTGTGGGTGATTGAGAGGTGAGGGCAGGGGCCACGGAGCCCCTTTTGTGGCTGAGAATTGCCACTCCTTTAGATACCTGTGGGCAGGGCCACTCCTACTTTGGCTGATTGGAAAAAATGACTGATCTTGGGTGGCCCCCCACAGTCAGCTGTCCCCCTGGTGCCCCAGCCCTGCCTGTCTGCCTGCCTCTGAGTCTGGCGGGGTTGCTTAGAACTGGAAGCCATTGTCTAGAATTCTTGTTCCCTCCTGACGCTCCTGTATTCTGAAAAATACAGAAGCCAAGTCCACAGGCCGATCCTCACGGTGCATGGCAGACAGACGTCTCCCTGCCTGTCACCCTCCACACTCTCCTAGGACATTCCGGCCCACGAGGAACATGCCCAATGTGCAAATCCCTCAGGTAATGCGGGAATTCGTCACCAGGGGAGTGCGGGTGATCCAGGAATGGGAACCTGATCAGGGCCCTGAGCTGAAAGGAAGCAGCCCCGGCTGGCCAGGGAGGGCTCAGGTTGCAGTAAGTGAGACACATATGGAAGAGGAAAGGGCGGCAGGGAGGTATCCCAGGGCCAGGGCGGAGGGGATTTTAGCAGCAACCTCCTCCCAGCTTTTAGGGAAGAAAGAGCAAGCTGTGAACCAGGTGGTGAGGAGGAGGGTGACCATGAGCCCTCGCTAACACCTGGTGTTCCATGCACAACTATGAAGGGAGTCGCCTGTGTCTCTCAGAAGCATTGCTGTTAACATGATCCATGGAAGCGTCACCTAAGCAAAGTCAGACATGCAGGCCTTCAGCTCTATCGTTCTACTTGCGCAACTTCCAAGCTTCCATTTCATGCTACCTGGACTGGCAACTCAACTGGTCTCTGAAGTACAGAGTAGGAGGAGAGATTGCTTTCTCCCAGAGTCTCCAAGGATGGCCCCAGAGCCTGGTGTGGCCGCTACAGATGTTCCCACGTTAGGGAGAACTGTCTCCCTAATGTCACCAGTACTAAGGCCACCAGCTCACCTGCTACCACCCACAACAGAAGAGCAGGTGCTTATGAGACGTAAAGCTGCTGGCTCAGTCTCGGTACACACGCCCCCCACCCCCCGCCCCCACACACATACACTCACGCCAATAAAACCACCACTGGACGCCAGTCTCACGGAGAAAGGAACCAGGAGGAGGGGGTTAGGCTCTCTGGAGAAGACGGAATATAGGACGGTACCGAGGAATAAGACAGTCTTGAATGGCCACATTTTCCCTAAGCCCAGGACCCCAGTGTCTCAGCAAACAGACTGTCTCAGGCCTCCTCCAAAGTGGCTTAAAGAGGGTTCAAACTCATCTCAGTAGTGTTACAACTGACTGCACGACACGAAGGTCTGCACAACAGTCCTGGGAGGAGGAGGAAAAGAGGAGTCCACAGCAAGTTCATGTCTGCTCAGAGCAGGAGAGGTCAAAGCACAGAGCCAGCCTCCGACCAAGAGCCAGCCTCTTATCATGAAAATAGAATGCGGGCAAGGCTGGTTAAACTTAAAGCACCTATAAAATTATATTGGTCCATTGTAACCATGGAGCACTCACACAAACACACACACTCTGGCTGCTGTCCCTTGCCCCCAACTGCCTTTGTATTTTCTATAATTAATCGGGCAAGGGTGGAATGTGAGGATGGCTACATGGAGGTCAGACTTGCCGCCTTCTCTCCAGTAAGAGCCCACTGACCTGGAGGGGCAGCTGGGGGCACCCCGTGGGTGTCCGGTTACCTGGAGCATGTTGAGGAGCAGGCTCCGGAACTTGGTCCCCTCCACCATGAAGAGCGCCATCTTGTCGCAGAGCTTGGCGGCAGTGAAAGCGAAGCTGCGGTCTGACACGGCCTTCTGGTAGATGGTGCGCACAATCTCCCCCAGCATCTCCTCGGAGTTGGTGGAGTTCTGGGCCTCCTCCATGAAGGTGGTGAGCTTGGCGTCCACGTCGCTGCTGTTGTTCCGCATGCTGTTCAGGATCTCGATCAGCTTGTCCATCTTGTTCTGCTGAGGGCTGGTCGTCTCCACAGCCACTTCATCCTGGGGGCATGGGGAACAAACCCAGTGCGCCTGAGTGGAGCCCAGGTGTCTGCAGGGGGCTGGTCTGGTGGAGGGAGGGCCTCTCGCTCCCAGAAAGGATTCAGTTCTACCTTCCTGGACTTGAGATCTGATCCCTCTGGAGACCCTTACCTCCTCCAAAGACCCTCTGAGTCCCCAAGACTTTGTTGTCTTTGTTCTTGGTTAATATAACATCCACAGCTACCAGCCCATGCTTCTCGTGAGTTCTAGCTCCCACCCAGGATTCTCACATATAAGAATCTTCAAAAAGTTCATGGAAAATGTGCATTATGAAAGAACTATGCATGGATTTCAACATTGTTTGCACCCAAATAAACTCATACTTTAATTCCACTTTCCATGAATTTTTTTAAGTCCCCTGGTACACTGGCTTGTTTTCTTGTTTATTTGTCCATCAAATGTCTTAATCTAGAGATGATTTAATAGGGCTTATAAAAGATGAAATTACATAACAAATGAGAAATTAGACTAAAGAGAAAATGAAGGAGGGAAGGCCAGGGCAGGAGCGCCTGCCCCAGTAGGATTCAAAATGCCTGCAGTGATGGTTGGAGGCAGTCAAAGGAGCAGCCGCCTTGTCTTCCACTCTCAGCTCTGACCGCCCAAGGTCAGTCATGTCCCAGAGAGCTGGGATTTCCATGAGGACATGGTCTCATGGAGTCTGTGCCAGCCATCTACACGCAAATACCACCCACCAAGGAATCCTCCCATGTGCCACTAAAATGGCTAGAACTTACAAGATGTTTATTTCAGGCAAAGACCCTAAACCCCTATGAGGTTTCACTGCAGCTTGGACAAGAGAGAGAAGAAATGGCATCTGACTATCTCAAAAGTATTTACTCAAACACAATAGATTGATGGCCAAGAGTACAACTGACTTAACTGCTGGGATGTGAGACCCGTTTGGAAGGGCAGCATCAGGGTGAGTAAATGTGATCGCACACTGGCCCTGCCGTTTTCAACAGTGCGAGCTCTGGGCTGGGAAGCACCGAGCCAAGTTATAGTTCCTGCTCTGTCTCTGGCTGTGAGGCTGTGGCATGCATTCCAGTCTGTCGGTCTCAGTTTCCTCACAGATGACACAGTGAGGTTAGACCAGAAGATCCATGGCTTATTTGGACCCTATCATTGGAAGGTCAAGTTCCAAGGACAACTGGTCTCCCACTTGAGAACCGGGTCTTGGGTGAGAGTTGAACCTGGACGTCCTTCCTGCCTCTCCTCAAATCCACCCACCTCTTCAAAGAAGGTTAGTCTGATCCCGGGTTAGATCAGCAGTGCACAACTTGCTAATCCATGGACATTTAACAATTTACCTGTGTTCAAAAGGTAGAAGGGAACAGGTACTCTCCTTGAGGAAAGCCTCACTGAGGCTGGTACTGGTGGCTCTCCTGTTCCCAGTGTTCGCCCTTCTTTCGGGTGAGTAAAGGTGAGTACCCAGCAGAGCAGGGAGCGACCCTGACACTAATCCCATATGCTCTTGGTCAAGGAGTCCTCACCTGAAGGGCATCCTTGAAACTGATCTGTGGGTGCTACAGATCTACCTAATCTGTTCCCTCTCCCCCATACCCCTTCCTCCAACCATCTGAGTCCCAGGGCAGGGCCAGTGGTTTGCATATAGAACAATAGCTACCCACGAGGGTCTTTACACATCAACTCATTTGATCTTCAGTCTCTCTGCTATATGCATAGTGTTACACTCATTTTCCAGATAAGTAAACTGGGGCTCAGAAGTTGCCCAAGATTGCTTAGTCAGTCAAGGGCAGAGTGAACCGGGTTTGCTGTATCCCAAAAGCCCATGCTGTTTCCACTCTGCTGCACTGACTGATGCTTAGCAGAACTCCAGAGAACTTAGTTAATGGTCTGTCTCTGGCTGGGCTCTAGCAGCCTGTCTCAAAGCTCTGTGGGTAAAGACCACACACTGGTGGGCTGGGAAGCTCTTCTAGGTGCTCACCACCGGGTGGTGAGGAAACGAGTGAGGCTTTCTGCAAGGACCCTGTAGCTGCCTGTCCCTGCAGGGAGGCAGAACAGGGGCTGGAGGATGGGACACTCGGTGGGTGCGAGGCAGCATTTCATTTCAAAAGTCGATTTCAAAAAAGGTCTAACCTGCCTTATTCTGCCTGAGTGTAGACCTGTCTAGCCTCTGGGGCAAAAGGCTGAGGAGCGAGAGCAGTCAGTCAGAACACAAGGCCATGTGGAAACCCAGAAGAGGACTCCATTGGCTCTGCCCCCTGGAGGGCCATAGCTGTGCAAGTCAGCCTTTCTCTAAATGGCTCTCACCCAAGGTGACCTTACCTGTGCCCATGGGGGTGAGGAGTGGGGAAAGGGTGGTGATGCTGGGGTGAGCACATGGACCATTTTAATGCTGCCAGGTACACATCCCATTCCCTTACTGGAGGCCTGAGGGCAATTCCCTGAAGCTGTGGACCAGCCTGTAGAGACCGGGGCCAGGACTGGGCTGGGTAGAGCAGCTCCTGGGGAGCAAATGTAGGAGTCCCGCTTCCAGATCGTGCCCATGCAGCCTGGCACCTGCCTGATGCAGAAAGCACAGCCTCCTTATGCTTCACACCTTAAAGCCCTCGCTGGCTGCTGGGACGTGAAGGTGGAGAAGGAAGAGGCCGAGGCCGGTCTGTTCCCACCTGCGCAACTCACCTGTGCCTTTCATCCTGGTAGGGAGTGCCACCTGGGTGGCATTACCTCGGGGAGAAAACCTCTGTCCTCATTTCACAGTCCCCATGATTCCCAATGCCCTTTAGCACCTCTCTTTTGCGGAGACAGAGGTGAGGAGTTCCATGCATGGCAGGGGTTCATGCAGAGCGGGCCCAGCCCGACCCTAGGCACCGTGCCCGGTGTGGTGGGTCCATGTAGCCACCAGAGCCCTGCTTCTCTCCATACAGCTCCCCAGACCCTCAAACCCACGAGCCTCTGCCCTGAGCCCACCTACCAAAGCGCCTACCTCTCTGCTGTCCTCCCTGGTGCAAGAGAACAACAAAAATTCAATTACCGGTACCTTTTCTTTTAGTCTTCGCCGCAGTCTGTCTTTGGAAGACTGGAGCAGGGTAATTTTGGGCCGCTCCCCGAGGTGCTCGGGAATAATACTGTCTTTACGCTTTGTCTCGGCCTCTGGCCCCCCTGTCTGCTGTGGGGGCAGCCTCTCGGAAGGCGCTGGAACCGGGGTGTCAGGGCTGCGGGGGGCCTCAAGGCTGACAAGCCCAGGGTCCGCTGGGGTGTCCTCGAGTTTGGGGCTTTCGATGGTTACGGACTCTTTGGCATTGCGGTGGGTGCTTGCCTCCCCCTTGTCGCCTGGTGGGTGCTTCATGGTGCTGTGGTGCCAACGCCGGTTCTGGCTGTAGCCATGATGGGTGGGCCTTCCTGAGGGGTGGGCTACTGACCCCCCCTGGTAGGACTTCTGGTGGTCCCTGTTGTGTTTGGCACTGCCTGGCTGGTGGTCACCATGTTGCTGGGGCTTGTTCCCCCCAGGAGGTCTCTGCTGCCGTCTGCAAACCGAGGGGAAAGAGAGAGGAGTTGGTAGGTGAGCCACTGGGGTCCCGGGGGGGTGAATATTAGAGGAGGAAGCCATGATTTGTTCATTTTGTCCTTGTCTCTCAGTGAACACTTACTGAGCATCCCTACGTGCCAGGCTCAGAGAAGAGCCAGACAGGTCCCTGCCACCTCAGAGGATTTAAGTCGACCCTCCACTTAACATCACTCTCTTATTCATTATTAGAATCCGCAGGAATACGTGCACATACAACAACATTAACAAGATACAAGAGAGTATGCGTGAGCCCTTCTGCCTCCATCCCCAGCCACCAGTTACGTCTTCTGGAAGCAGCTGTTACCAGTTTGTGAATCTCCCAGGTACACTTGATGCGTGTTCCAGCAAGACACATACCCTGACCTGCTTCCCATAATGACCATCCCGTGAATGGCTCTTCACTATAATGGTTTTTGAATGCTTCAGATGACTTTTATGGGGGCGGGCACATTGACATTGTCACCCTCAAACCCATTAACAGAAAATTGCATGTCCTTTCTCCACCTATGAAAAGAAAATATTCATATGTTGATGTCCTAACCCCCAATCCTTCAGAGAATGGCTGTATTTGGAGATACACCCTTGAAAGAGGTAATCAGGTTAAACAGAAGCTGTCAGGGTGGGCCCTACTCTAAAGGGACCGGTGTCCTTATAAGAAGAGGAAATTTGGACACAGAGACACTAGAGATGCTGTGCAAAGAGGAGAAAGACAGGTGAGGACACAGCAAGGACGCCAAGGCGAGGCCTTCAGAGAAACGAGCCAACCCTGCCCACGCCTTGATCTCGGACTTCCAGCCTCCAGAGCCGTGAGAGAACAAGTATCTGTTGTTTAAGCCACCCAGTCGGTGGTAGTTCACTATGGCAGCCCTAGCAAACAAATACAGAAGGGATACTTAATGTATTTGCCTTTAGGCAAGGACGGGCTCTCCCATTTACTTGACAGTACTTAAAGCAGAGAATAGCAGGAGGAACATGTGTGAGTCACGCAACATGGGACAAATCCAAATACTTTCATATGTGGACAGAAGGCCAGTGAAGAGGAGAATGGGGTACCCGCACGACCCTCCAGGTTGGTGCCAAGCACTGCTTCATGGCACCCGAAGCAGTCTTGCGTTGAGCATCTATTTTATCTTCACGACGCTTCCCGTGCCGTAAATGTATCAGAAGTGCAGTTCAAGAACAAAATAACATGAACCCCTCAAAGCTGTAAAGTAGTAAAGAAAACTTACATAAACAATCCCGGTGCCTCTTCCATGACCTATCTGGGTACCATAAACCTTCATTTCATTGCATTTTATGTGCTGTCCCTATTTACCTTTAAATGATTGCTTATTATTTACATACACTCAATTTAAATGTTCCCTTCATTTTTATCACAGAAATTTGGAGACATCACAGGTTGGGGTTAAATGTATTATTTTTTGCCTACTGAAATGAATAAAGGGTGGCCCTGAATAGCCTAGTGGTTAGGAGAATTGAATCCCATATGGGGAACCGTGGTTCAAATGCCAGCCAACCTCAGTGGCTCGAGTAATATGCTGGGTGTGTGTGTGTATGCCCCCAATTCAGAAGGGATGGAAAAATGGAAGAGGAGCGATTGTAGCATAACCATACCCCATATGGGGGTGGTAGTGGTTCCTCTCTCTGGTGAGTGCATGCATTCTCAGGCAATTAAAAAAAACTAATTAAAAATTTTTTTTCATTGTAAAAGCTTTCTACTTAATGGCATGCTTTACAGGGACATTAAAGTTACGCGAAGGACAGATGCATAGTCTTCTGTTTCCACACAACAGGCAGCTTATATATTGGGGATCAAAATGAGTATAATCTTTCTGGAGGGAAATCACAATTGGTTTCAAAAGCCTCTAAAACATGCAAAACCATCAGGCCTTGCAATTCCACTTGTGCTAATGTATTCAAAGGAAATAATCAAAGATGTACATCTTTGATTTAAGCAGAAAACTGAATGTGGAGAAATCAAGGATGTGGCAAGAGAACGCTCTTGTTGACGGAAATATGGTATCGTTTTTAAAGGCAAGTATTAATATGCACAGAAAAATCTGGAAGGAGACACACTAAGTATTAATATGCATAGACAAATCTGAAAGGATATACACTAAAACATAGTGGTGATCTCTGGGAGATGGGCTGTGGATTTTTCTTTTTTATTTGTGTTGCCTAAGTGAACATTATTTATTTTTTTTATTAATTCATTAACTTTATTATAGTGGGGCAATTATTAATTCATGTACAGTTGTAGGAAAAAAAAAATAAAGAGACATCCCTTGTACTTTTTACCCAGTATGGTAATGTCCGGCAAAACCAAAGTGTCATATCACAACCACAACTCTGACCTGAGTCCTGTCAAGATACAGACATTCCCACCACCACAAGGACCCCTCCTGGTGTCTTTTCACAGCTATGCCCAGTTCTCCCCCACCATCTCCCTCCCTGGCAACCACTCCTTCATTTTCTATTTCTATAATTTTGTCATCTCAAGAATGTTCTATAAATGGGATGATAAAGTATATGACCCACTGGGATTGGCTTTTTTTTTTTTTAACTTGGCATAATTCCCTGGAGATTCATCCAAGTTGTTGCACGTATTAGGAATTCATTTCTCTTTCTTGCTGAGTGGTATTCTGTGGGATGGATCTAAAACCACAGTGTGTTTTTCTATTCACCCTTTGAAAGACAACCGTTTCCAGTTTTGGACCATTACGAATAGAGCGGCTATAAACATTTGGGTGCGGGTTTTTGTGTGGACGTAAAATTTCATTTCCCTAGGAGAAGTGCTCAGGAGTACCAATGCTAGATCATATGATGGTTTCACACATAGCTTTTAAAGAGACTCTTGCTCTGTTTCCCAGATAGGCTGTGCCAGTTTACCTTCCTCCCAGCAATGTAGAAAACGCTCTGGCCCATTGTTTGTTTTGGAGGGTTTTTTCCCATCCCATGTTATTTCTCTACTTTTGGGACTCCGATGATATGAATGTTACAGTTCTTGTTACAGTCCACAGGTGCCCAGAGCTCAGCCTTTTCTTTCTTAGCCTACTTTCTCCCAGTGGCTCAGACTGGGCAATTTTCATTGGACTATCTTCTGCTTCACTGTTTCTTTCCTCTCGTCCTCACCATTCTGGTATTTACTGAGATTTTGATTTAACTATTCAGTTCCCACTTGGCTCTTCTTCATGTCTTCTATGTCTTTGCAGTGACCTATTTTTTCATGTTTCAACTGTGTCCCTGACTATTCTTTGAAGCATTTTTTTGATGGCTGCTTTAAAATCTTTGCCAGATCATTCTCATGTCTTTCATCTCCAATTTATCTTGTTTTCGTTCAATTTGAGATCTTTCTGGTGCTTGGTGTGACTAGCGATGTTTGACTGAAACATGGGCCTTTTGGGAATTATGCCTGGAGACAACGCACTTCATTTGGCTTCCTGTTTCAGTCAGCTTCCTCTGACCTGCTCTGGTCATGAGTAGGGGGTGCCGCCTCTTGATTACCCAGTGTGGAGTATGAGTTCTCCCTGGGTTTTCTTTGACACCCTAAGAGCTCTTTATTACTACTGGGCAGGGGTGGAGGTTCAGGCTTCCCCTGAGACCTACACTGCGCCTCCATGGCTGGAAGAAGAGGGTGACAGACTGTTGCTCCCCTGCAGCCTCCACTGATAGTTTGGCGGGGCAGGAGCTGTTATTGCTGGGTGGTGGTATGGGTGGAAGTGATATCTTCTTTAATATTACTATTTTTTAAATAAAATTTTTGCTATAGGGCACACGTGCTCACTGGAGAGAGAGAGACAGAGAGAGGGAAAGTGAGAAATGATCACCCATCCTGGAGGGAGATGGTCACTGCAATCCTTTCTTCATTCTCCTCTTGGGATTTTGGCCATGCATGTACACAAGCCCAGCATGTTTTTCAAGCCAGTGGGCCTTGTACTTGAAGTGCAGAGTTAGCCATGTGGGATCCAGTGGGTTAACCACCATATCACCTGCTGGCCTGAGAGGCACCTCTTTTCTGATGGGTAGGGTTGGATCCTTGGATACTCATGTAGCTTCCTGTAATACATGGGGAGGAAGGCACTCCTCACTCCACAAGGTGCAAGTCCCAACTCCCTACTGGCCTCTCTGACACTCCCCTGGTGTGGAGTTGGGGTGTCTTGTTATAAACTGATGAGGGAGGAACACCAAGCCCCTCACTCAGCCTCCCCCAGGGGAGTGGAGGGAGTAGAGTTACAGGTTTTTTCTGGGGCTCTGGTTGCAGTTCAGTAGTTACTGTCTAAGGTTTTCTGTCCTCCTCGTGCCCCTCTTCTAGTTCTTTGGCCAGAGCCGTTTTTGCTGGGACTTTTTTTATTCATCATGCCTAGTGGCATTTCTGGGTTTCAGTTTCTTTAGGTCCAACTCTGGGATTTATGAAGCCAACAAAAAAATCCAGTCCTGTGCCATTCATCCAATCCCCAGGTTTCCCATCTGCCTTCTTCCCTCCACCTTTCAGAGTTTTCTTATTTTGTTTTCATATATAATGTACAAGGCTTTTATTTGTAGGTATTTTGATAATTTGAGGCATTATACAAATATCTATAAAAGTCTGGTACACTGAACTGAACCCTGGCAACCGGACCTGGCCTGAGTACCCCTTGGGAGGCCTACAAGGTGTTTTCATCTTTGTCTGGGTTTGGTCTTTTGGGTTCTGAAGTCCATTCCTGGACAAGGGTAATGCTGCCCTGATGCTTGGGTGGAAGAGGCAGTCCCTCTCTCCCCAGACGCCCCCTCCCACTGGCATGCTTCACTCCCTATCGCCTGACTGCCCTGTAGGGACCAGCAGCACCAGCACCGGGTGGAGAGTTGGGTCCCACTGGCCAAGTGGTGCCACAGAGCCAGGTTCTCTCCAAAGACCCAACCATCCTCAGCCTACAGGTGGCCCAGGCTAACCCCAGATGCTGAGTCAGCTCTGAAGGGGCA